GATTTAGACATAGTGCAGTAGTTAGTAATTAGAACTGTAGTTAGCAGTTAGATTCGAAATGTATAGTATATAGTTATATTTGGGATATAATATAATATATATATAGTTATTTTTATGTTTTTTTTTTAATTTTTTTTAATTTATTTTTATTTTTATGGGCTGATTTCCAGGTTGTTATGTAATTGGGTCTGTTCTTTCTGATCCAATTTCTGAGCTAATTTCCGAACTAGGTGATATTACTATTTTTCTTGTATTATATTTAAAGTTTTAAATCTGTGACTTGAATATGACTTGGTAGTACTAAATATTAAAATAATTTAAGCCACAAAAATATTGAGCCTTCTAGATTGTAGCTAAAGACTTAGAAATAAAGATTAATTCTAGTAGTTAGTTACTTATATTAAAATAATAAGCATTAGATAGAAAGCAATTAAATGATGTATAAAAAAAACTAATAATTGTAATAAATATTTAAAAAAATTATTGTGATAAGTATTTAGAATAATAATTGTAAGCAGATTGCAATATTTGGTAGCTTTTCTAATATGGGTTGTTTACAACCTAAAACTAATTGCTAGAAAAATGAGTTTGAGATTAAAGATAGCACAGTAGCTTTTGGTAAATTAAAAGGTATTTAAAGCCTAAGTTTTTGCCTTAGTAAAGTTTTCTCAGACTACAAGTCTCAAACTACAATATTTTGATTATATATTTATAATAAAAATTAGATTTTTATATATGTTGTATTTAAGTTTATATATTAGTTTATTGATTTAGTTTATTCTTTTATTATTATATTCTTATTGCTTTATTATTGTTATCTTGCATTTTTTATTTTATTATAGTATAATAAATTACTGTGAATAATTAAAGTTGATCTATTAAGTAATAACTTCAAACTTGTTTAAGCGTTTTGTGATATTATATTACATGTACAAGTATTATAAATCTCTAGCCAAGTGAACTATCAAAGCTAAATTGGATTAATATTCTTAATTGCTCTCTCAACTGACAGTTACACTAGCTTAAAAATCATCTTTAAATGAAGTATATCTAGGTAGAGTAAATCTTAAAAATATACAAGATACTTAAAGCTTTATTATAAAAAGCCTTTCATAGTATTATAAATAGGTATTATATTTTTTTAAAAAAATTACTGTGTAAAGAATAAAAGTAATCTAAACTGTATTAAATTTAATTAAATAAAATTGACTAGTTACAAAAAAGTTAGCTTATATGTTTTAAGCTTAGTTTTAAACCTAGTTTTTATTAACTCTTTATATATATATATATATATATATTGTATTTCAAACTAACTAAACTTGATAAAAATATAATAAGCTATATTATATTTTGAAGTTAAATAAAAGCTATTAAAATATAAACTGATAAGCTTTATATTTGCAGTAAAATTTTTTTAAAAATATAAAAAATTAACTAATATTCACCACAAGTAATTTACAAAAATAATTAATTTTTTATCAAAACAAAAAATTAACTTCTTTAAAATTAGAATAAGGGTTAGAGATTAGAGTTTAGGTTAGGGTTAGAATAGTGCTTTATATATAGTAAAATTTAGTAAGAAATTTTTTTTTGTTAGAGCTTAAAAGGTAATTTCATAAACAAAATTTTAAAATATAAGCATTTTTTTAAAAAAATTCTTTGTTTTTATTACACAAAATTGATTTACATGTTACACCTGATTCTAAATTTTAATTGGCAAATTGACTACAAGTGATAATCACCTGTGGTGTAAATTAGATATACAGTCAGACCTCTCTAAATGCACCTTCTATAAGTGCACACCCTCTCTAAATGCATGCTTAAGTGCTGGCCCAAACATATACTTGACTTCTATAAATGCACTTTTTCTTATTTTTCTCTATATGCACGTTATTAAAGTGTGGTCCCAAGGGCGTGCACTTAGAGAGGTCTGACTGTAATTAATAAATATTAGCATTTAATTACTAGTTTATTAAAATTAATTTAGCAATAAATTACATTATTGTTGATCTCAACTCCTAAGAACTCATCGACAATTTTGATGTTTCAAAGTTCATATTTTCATAATCTTTGCTCGATGATGGTCTAGATTGTGGTCTAAATTTTTCACAAGCATTAAAATTGAGTAAGATCTGCTATATATCACTAGCTTCTAAAGATAAATTAACCGGATTGTTGCCATATTAGCACATGTTCACAACTATTCTTTTATTAAATATTTTTCAAAGTGTTTAAGTTTTTTTTTAATTTCCTAAAAGCGAGACATACATAATTTTGCCGTAGATTCAGTACGCGTTTTTTGATGGGTTTAATTAGTATTTTTAAACCATAGTCACTAGTTTTATTAATTTTATTATTTTTTATCATATTAATATACGTATTGTATATATGTAAATTTATGTATAATGTTTTATAATATCGGGCATAATAGACCAATATAGAACAAAAAAAAAATTAAAGGTCCAAATTAATGTTTAGAACGTGTTTTCAAATAAAGAACGAACATTATTTTAGCCTTTGAATAAACCAGTTTGAATCCTAAGTCTTTTCGGACCTCTTGTCGCATAGTAACTAAACATATTGATAATGTATAAATAGGCAATAAAAAAATTGATACAAAAATCACATCTAACTATTAATAATCCTAATTGTCAAATGTCAATTGATATTACATTTTAAATGCTTCAGAAATGAATAAATCATAAATTTATAAAGTTAATAGTTTTTTAGCATAGTAGTCAACAATTTTTTGTTGCCAAAGTTTAGCGCATTAATTAGCAATTCCTTTTCTCTATCTTTATTTTTATATTCATGTAATAAATAACATTAAATAATATATTACAGTGGTATTAATATTATTAGCAAATTGTTTAAAATATGTCATTGATAATTAGAAGATCCAAAATATATGTTAATTGTGCTTCAGAATGTCAATTATTAACAGCACTTTCATAGAATTTTAAAAGTATCATCAACATTGTAGAGTTTGAAAATTCTGAAAACATCACTGTGAAAGTATGACCTTTCAAAGTTTTACAGTACAATACTATGTATTCTTTTTTTTTTATTGCACTATATATAAAAATTATTCATATATAATATGTCGTCAATTTGATGTAAGGTATTGTTTTTAATTGCTTTCTCAAGCGTCATTTGTAAATTAGGTTAATAGAATCTGTTAATGTCCGGAGCAAAATTATACAAAATTATATATTACTATAATATTAAATATATATGACAAAATCTATATTAAATAATATTCATTAAAAATGCTTACAGCTATTATCATAATTCCTGGGACACCTGTAAAAATTTGCCGAATGATTTTTCAGCCGATCCGGTTATGTTATTGATTCGGCATGATCTGTATAATAAAATATCATATAATGTTTGTCATAACAATAATGTCAACGATTTTAAATTTTCATTCGAATGCTTGTCCAAAAATGTTTGGTCGCTTTGGTTTGTACGAAAATTTATGGAAAAAACTGGTCATGTCAACCAATAAACCTTGACAAGAAGGAATCGAATATAAATTAGACTTTTAACAACAAATATATTACTCGAACAGGTACCATTATTAAAAAAGTTAAATATGATCGACTGGTTTAAAAATGAATCTTTGGTTAAGATTCCAAGTAATCAAGATATTATTAATATTTGTCGAGAATGCATGAAGAATTATGATAAACGAAATCTAAGTAAAAATTTTTATGTTTATATTTGTTTATATATTTTTTGTCTTTGATAAGAAATGAAAAATATTAGAAATAAATAAATGCTTTCGTTTGAAAGAAAACGCATTTTGCCAAAGAATAGAGATCAAAATTTAGGTTAATTTTTTAAAAATGAATTTTTTGTCTTCAACAAGAAATAAAAATAATTAGAAATGAATAAATGCTTTCGTTTGGAATAGGAATTGAAGTTTTATACAATTTTTTAAAACCTAATTTTCACCAAAAAATAATTAGAAATGAATAAAGGCTTCGTTTGAATGAAAATAGATAATAGGAATTGAAATTTTATACAATTTTTTTTAAAAATGAATTTTTATTGAAAAATAATTAGAAATGAATAAAGGCTTTGTTTGAACGAAAACGGATCTTGCCAAAGAATAGGAATTGAATTTTACACAATTTTTTAAAAATAAATTTTCGTAGAAAAATAATTAGATCTTGCCAAAGAAATTTTATACAATTTTTTAAAACCGAATTTTCATCAAAAAATAATTAGAAATGAATAAAGGCTTCGTTTAAGCAAAAATGATAGAGGTTGGAACCGGTTTTAAAAATTCGAGTTTATCACATAAAAATTCGAGTTTATCACACCAAAATTCGAGTTTATCACTTCAATCATTAATGATTGAAGTGATAAACTCGAATTTTGGTGTGATAAACTCGAATTTTTATGTGATAAACTCGAATTTTTAAAACCGGTTCCAACCTCTACAAAAATGAATCATGAAAAGAATAAGATTGAAATTTTACGACTTACAAGTACAATAATGTATATATTAGTCACCTAATCTTATTAAATTACGTATTTGATATATCTGTTACTGAATCTTATTCCCGAAATATATAACTTAACCGGATCGGCCGAAAAATCATTCGGCAAATTTTTACAGGTGTCCCAGGAATTATGATAACGATAATAGCTGTAATGTATATTCATACGTGTTGGCATCCGGACATGTTGAACAAAGCATGCCTAGTAGTAATTTTTATCCAATCATAGTTTGTGTTACATGTGGACATCCGGACTTTTTGATCAAAGCATTCTAGTAATAAGTTTTACCCAATCACCGTTTATTTATTGTATCACGTGGTGGACATCCGGACATTTTGATCAAAGTATGTCTAGTAGTAGATTTTTACCTAATTAATGGAAAAAGGGTTTTTAGAGGTGTATATCGTAATTTTAGAAATATATCATGTGCTAGACATCCGGACATAGTGATCAAAGCATGCATAGATTGTAGGTCCTTCGGACAATAAATGTTATTTCTTAGTTGATTCATCAAGGGTGATTCCAAATACGTTCCATGGAAATGATTTATTGTTATTCACTAATTCATCTATATTTGTGTAAATAATACACCATTGAATCGCTGTTTCTTGAGGATATTGATCTGACGTTTTCCCATGCCTGCCACTATTTTGTTTCTCTATAATTTCCAAGTTGACTGTTGTGGTCGTCCAATATTTAAGGTCAATTTCATAGAATGATGTATTTTTTGTGGATTGGGAAATAAACGATGTTACTAAAATACAATCCGCATAAAGATTGTTGCAATCTAAAGATATTTGAGAATTACTGATATTTTGTTTTCCATGAGCGATTTGAATACTTCGATATTTATTAGTATAATACCCTCTTTGCTTAGAAATCACGAACCAAAAAATCTTTAAATTATTACAATACAACCTTTTAATATGAGAATTAAATATGTTAAAAGTTAATAAAGTTTTTAAATTATGAATTAATTATAGAATGTATAATACCTTATATCTTTATTTTTGTGCAATATTGCAACACTACCATATTCATTAGCGTAATTGAAACCAACAACCACATCGGAGATATTTTCCCAAATTCCAAATATATTCTTTTTAGCAACACTTCCATAAATCTGATAGTTTTTATCGACAGGACCAGGAAATTTTATAGATACAGAAGTTTGATCATCCCATTGTAAAGATTCTTTTCCACTAATCACAATACGATATTTATCACTTAAAATTTCATCAATAATTTTACATTGTGTTTGTTTCAAAATTTTATACATTGGGGTCCAATCTTCATATGATACAATCTTCCAATTTTTAGGGTTATCAATAAGAGTTTTTAACCAAGTTTCAATATAGTCACGTTTAATAATTGCCCCATTGCTCATTAAAAGTTTCGTGTTGATAAGTTTATGTTGTTCATCCCATTTCGATAAAGTTTTTCTAATACTTAATGCATCACAGCTATTCAAATTTCTCTCATCATCAATGATGTTTTGAGAAACATCATGCTCAATTGATAACTTTGCGCCCAAAATTAGAGTTTTAGGAACTAAATGTCCATAATGATTACTAAAAAGTTCATAAAGATTTTTATATGGTTCGCAACTTTCAAGAGAAAGATTCACCATATTTGAAACTTGTTCGATAGGTTCAATGTTTGCTAACTCAAAAGAAATTCTTGCCAACTTAACAATAATCTGACAATAAATCTTTTTAGAGGGTTTCTTTGTTAAATTATGATCAAAAAAAGGAATATCTTTGAACTTTAAATAATTGCTCTCCTTTATACCATTATCTAGCAAATATGCTTCTAGTTGAGTTCGAGGTTGTTTTAACAAAAGAATAACTTCATTCATGTTTGTTATTTTAGGTTCTTTAGAAAATTTAAGACATACATTTTCACTAGATATTAAATGTGGAAGTTTTAAGATTATACCATGTTCCAAAGACAGTTCATTAACCCAATCACGCAATAATGGGTGTTTTGATGTTTTTTTTTGTACTTTAATCCATTCAGAGAATTTGGTTTGTTCATACTCAGTTGGTGATATTTGTGGAATCATTCTCAAGGAAGGATTATTTGTAGACTCAATAGCAGGAAATTGTTCGATTAAATTATTCGGCAGTAACTTATATGACTGCTTAAATTTTTCATAAGAGATAATCTCTAGATTTCGATAATTGTAAATATCTTCTAGCCAATCATATAGTTCACCAATAGTTTTTAAAACTTTTTTCGAAGTTTCTAATTGAGGTAAATCATCAAGTGGGGCCTTGCTAAAAATTGGAGATTCTCCACCTTTTGCATAATCTATTCCCCATTGGATATACGTCATTAGGCGTAATTTATTTGCATCACTAATTGATGACCAATTTTTTATCAGTATAGCACCACCTATAACTACTTCAGAAACTACAAAGTTACCCCATTCGTTAAGTATCCTATTTAATTTTTCTTTTTTCTCATTGTCATCTAAACTATTAAGTGCATTACTGACATCTAAAATAAATTGCTCATCCACATTATCCACATCGCTATTATATCGTACAAATGCAATCGGGACATACAGCTTTGCATTATCGTCAAACGAACTTTGGAAAATATCTGGTTCATCTTTTAAAAAAGACATGTCTAAATCCCCAAGATCACTAAGTATTGTTTTTGTTCCAAGAACAAAATCGTGATCAACTAAATTTCTAGCTTTGTTTAAACCAAAGGTCTCAATAAATTCTTTTTGCAACCCTTTTTCTCTTTCTAGAACCCTAATGTCTAACTCACAAGTAGTTTCATTGTTTCTGAATCCATTGAGTTTTTCACGTTTATCAACAATTTCTAGTTCTTTAAGGATTTCTAAACAGTTAGGTCGCCTATCTATGTTTTGATTATGTTAATAAAATTTTGGCATTACTAGTTGCACGTGTTAGTATATGAAGATTATAGACAAAGATTTATAACATATATACCAGGATTGTGGTCCCAACATTTTTCATAAAGATGAATGAATTCACGCGGAGTTCCATTTTTGGATGATTCACGAGTACCATTAATTATTTCAAGTGCTAAAGAAACATTATAATTATTTCGAAAAGGTTCAACACCATCATTACATATCTCCCATATTAAAACCCCCAAACTGTAGATATTTAGCTTTATATTATTGAGGGTATCTTTATTTAGCAATACCTCAGGAGGGGTATATTGAGTAAAAGAAAGGTCACAAGGGGTACGAATTTTAGACATCCCAATATTTGCTATTTTGGGGATTCCATCATGGACGAAAATATTACACGGATGCTAAAAATCCAAGTAAAAACAATTAAGATTTCACAACATAAAAAAATAAAACACATTATTACAAGGTTTGGCAATTTTTACAAAGTATTACCAATTCCGTATGAACAATAGATCTTTCATGAAGGTACTTCAAGCCACTGACCACATGACGTATTAAGATTAATTTTCTATTCCAATCAAGTGGATCACTCGATGAAGATTTTTGCTTAAGATAATTGCGTAAGTCTCCGTTATTGGCAATTTCTGTAATTAAATAATAGTTGTTTTTATCTATTACATTTATTAAAAATATTAGTATAATAATTATTGAGTCGTTGTTGTCATTGTTTTATAAAGCAACATGGAACTAACCATATGTAAGACCAAATACTTTAAGCAAGTTTGGGTGATCAAATTGCTTAACTTCAATCTATGATAAATATTATAAAATATGTTTAGAAAATAGAAAATTTATATACTCTTTGTTATATAATTCAAATCATGCAGATACAGTAACTAGACTATTAATAAAAAAGATTAAATATATGCTAACCTCGAATCTTTTAATATTACTATCATCGCATTTACTAATATCTTTTAACTTTTTTATTTTCACTCGTTTACCACACCATATTTTTACAATGGACTCTTCTCCGTCTGTTTGTATTAATTCTTCGTATTTTATTAAGGTTAAATTATTAGTAAGGATTCTTCCACCTATAAATCCGTATAATGTTAAAGGTGGCATATTTTTATGCTTATTTTGTGTTGGTAATACTAATTTTATGCACTTATTATTGTCAAGTAGCTTATAAAGTTAGCAAATCCTAATTAAAATCCCTATTTATATTAGTTTGAGATTAGACTCGGTGTCAAATTAATTTTAACAGTCCGTACGTACTATACATGGATTGCAACAATAATATAACTAATCGGAGTCTTTTATAAACTAGTACGTACTTAGATAAATCCAGAGGTGCCATTGAGATTTCCTTAACAGTATGTATTTTGTGATTGTGATTTGTGCGTCAAATACTTAGCCATATAAAAATGTTTGTTTACCATCATTTGATTTAGTACCATTAAACGATGTACACTAAAAGCTGAAATATCTAATGTCATAATACATATTATATATGCAATAAGATTTTCACAATTGCTTATTAATGTTTACTATCCATTACTATTGATATTCCTGATAATTATTCGAATACCTGTCAGAATATCCAGATATCTGAGCGATTTGAATTATCCGGATAATTAGATACGGATAAACGGATTTATCCGGATTGGAACTCTAATGCATAGTCAATTATTGCGTTTTGCAAAAAGATGTGATCTGCAGCAATGTCGTGTGAGAATTGGAGATTCTGTAGATTTACTGATCGAAAATATGGATTAATAGACAATTTAGAATCTCAAAAATTCCCGATCATCATCCGGGTAATCTTTTTGCAAAACGCTATAAATTTATAGAAAGTTCCATAATAAGGAATTATTGTTTATTAAAAATGGGATCATTGAAAGGTCACGACATAATCATTACAGTAGCATAAACAATAATCTTTAAAATCGAAAGGATACTATATGCTCATCAACGGATGATAATGAAACCTCCTCTTTAAATACAATATCTCCCTAGGTGCGAGTACAAATAATGGCTCAAATATACCTTTAACCCGGGTTGTGAGTAGATAAGTATTAGACATCCATTAGATATATAAAAAACATATACTTATCTAATGATTTTTTTTTCATTAGACTATGCAAGTTCACAACCCTGTATTTAACCTTTACATACTCCTTATTAAATTAAGTATTTGCCTTATTTTCAATATTCTGAGCTAAAAATCATGAGCAAAACACTTTCTACTAAAGTTCTAGTATATCGTAATTAAAATCCATACTTTAACTGAACTCAGATAGTTAAAGATAGGATGAATACCTTCAGTAGGGTATTTAATCCTTAAAAGTTGTATTTAGAGAGATCTAACTACATATTGGTTGTTTTACTATAATAGAAACGCACTCCTAAATGCCATAACGTGAAGAATTTTGAATTCAAAATTTTATATACAAATTAAAAACGTAATGTGTAAAACATATAATAGTGCAAAACTACTATAGGAAAAGTTTCATATATGACTGGTGTCCGGGCGTGTCCTAAAGTCATGGATTATTAAAAATAAATTCTATCTTGTGTATAAGTCATATATTATTGGTTTTTTAGTGATAATTTTTAAGATTAACGGGTAACTCCGCATACGTCTAAACACACAGCAGCATGTGATTTAACGGTTTTTAAAATTAGAATTAGGGTTCCCGATTAAGGATAGGATAGAATGGACCAAATAGGAATAAGAAAAATTGCCTTCCCCGCCATTTTTAATTAGTGCTCCAAGAGAGGTTTAGACTACTGTTTACTATATTTATTTGCATCGTCAGGCTAATCTGGGACAGTTACTTGATTGGTCTATAATCACGTGCGATCAGGGTACCGGAATTGGCAAAAAGTGAATAGGTATTAAAAATTTGGTAATAAAACAAAAGAAATCCTTTATTGTGCCAGTATGAGAATTTTATTGAATGAATATCATAATAAACATGAGATAAGTACGTTACCTACGTACAGTACATACATGATGTCTATGAAGTTAAATGGATAATTTTATTTGTGTATAAACTTTGCAATTAGTCGTTACACTATATAAACATAGTGATTAATGGAGTATTCAGAACTCCATGTTTTTTGTTGTTCTAACCTTTTCTAGTTACTCATTGGCAGAATGAACGAAAATTATTAATATTATTAAATTTAATGCATACATATAAAAAAACTCGGTTAATATATAGTTTAGGTGGGCAATATAGAATTATTATAAGATTATAAAAATAATTATTTGAACTAATTTAAATAAATTTATAAATATATAGTCAGGGTTAGGGTGAGGTTAAAAGTTTAAATTAAAGTTAGTTTAAGGTTAGAGTTAGAGTTTTTAAATATTATAATCTTATAATATTTCTTTATTGCCCACCTATACTATAGAAGATCCTAAATTAATGAATGTTTATAAATACAATTAAATAAATATTTTTTAATATGTATGTTTTAGCTCGGATTGGAATTGTCCCAATTCAAGATTTTAAAATTTTGGCCAACATTATGCTAACTTAAAACTAGAAAATTTTTTTCTAAACCTTAATTCTAACCCTAATACTAACTCTAAAGTTTTAAGTTTGTCAAAATAATTTGTAAAATTCCCATCCGGACAGCTCGATTCTGAATCTGGACAATTCCAATCTGGGGTACGACATGCATATTTAAACTGTATATAAAATTAAAAAATATAGAATTGTTATTAAAGATATAGTTTAAACTAAATTTATTAAATAAAAATGTTAAATCTATAACTAATTGTATTGCTGTATTGTCTAAGAATAGGGTATGTAGATCATTTATCATATGATTTTGGTGGTACAATAAGATTTATATAGAAATTGATAATGTGCTACTAATAAAACTTTTTACGATTGTAATTAATTTTAGCTAAAATTTTATAAAATAATTTATCTATTATAGTAAAATTTTGAACTATTATATTATTTAAAAAAATATACGTATATATATTACAAAGCTTATCTGGGTTGGCTCAAAATTTTCTGGGCTACACAAACTTTCCAAATTTATTAGTTAATATATGTAAATCTATAAGTTAATTTTATTATAAATTTTTATACTGTATCTGATCTTTAAAAATTTATATCTCATTGAGTTTTTAACCAATTTTAATGATTTTACTATCATTAAATCAGAAAATCTACTCTACAAACTTTTTTTAAGAATTAAAATTAGTTTACTTAATACAATTTTTTATAAAGTTAAATATAAAAAAAATTTATCATTAAGTTTATATATAATTTTAAAATAGTGTTATGGGCAAAGAAAGATCTTCAAATTCAGTCCTGTGATGAAAAAAATATTAACAACAAAATACTGATTTATTGGTTGAGGCTTATCAGCTAAATAAAACATAGAAACAGATATTTAATTTAGCTTAAGGCTTAGTTGAAGAATAACTTCTCAGCCAAAACAGCCTCATAACCTACATGAAATCTAAAGAACCTGAACATGTTGAAAGAAAAGAGCAAAAAACAAGAAACTGAAAAATAAATCAAGAAGTCTCAATATAAGATAGAGTAAATAGCAAAGCAAAGCCTTAGATTTTTTTAATTATGTTGCAATTATTATTGTAAGCCCCTATATTAGTATAAGTTTTCTTCTAAGTTGTTTAAGTTTTCTCCAAGCCTCTCTTGAATTCATTAAGATAGCAAAAGCTATAAAAGCACTGCAATTTTGCTCATATAAAAGGACATTCTATATGATTCCAATAATTCATTTATACTATCTTTAATATATATATATATATTTTTAAATTGATAACCTTGCACAATTTATTAGATATATATGAGTTTATATAAACTAAACTATCTAATGTTAATAATTGGCTATTACCTGGCTGCTTCAAAAGTGCCCAAGTATAGTTATCACACTGATATTTGCCAACAGAATCCATATATGCTGCTACATATATTTAAAAAACTGCTATAGCATAATACTCAGCTACCAGACAGAATAGTTTATCTCTTATATTTTCATAAAGGAAGAAAATAAATGCCAAGTTTACAAAAGAAAGCTACAAATTTAGAAAAAAAAAAAAAAAAAAAAGAGAAACAAAAAAAAAAGAGAAAAATAAACCAAATTTCTAAATTAGATTTGGTTATAAATAGAAGAAGATGAAAAAAGCAAAAAACCAACAACAAGAAAGTAAGACAAAAACAAAACAAATAATATACACTATTAAGCAAGTGTATGAGACTAAAAAATTATAACTAATACAATATTAGATATCTCTATTGTAAGGTATATCTTAACATAGAATTCTTCTCAATATACGATTAATATAGAAACAATTAAAATCTACATACTGATTTTCTCTTAGTAGCACTGTAAACAAAACTATAAACTATCTAAAACATGTAGTTGCAGTCTACGATGTCATCTGAATTTGAAAAAGTAAACAATGCTGATATTTTGATAGAGATAAGCTGTTTTGCCCATTTTTTACAAAAATTTTGTAGAAAAAGCAAGTGGGTGATAGTATAAAAAATAGCTTTTGTACTCTTCTTTAAAGAATGTATATTTTTTTCTGCAAATAGTAGAACATATAGAGCCTAATAAACTGCTAATTTTCTTGTCAGTAGGTAATAAACCCTAAACTTGTTAGCAAGTAGCATATGAGAACTATTTCTGAATAACAAGTGTTGTCCCTACAGTAAGTAATAAACTCTAGACCTGTTAGCAGATAGCGTATAAGAACTATCTCTAAATAATAGGTGCTGGTTTATGGTTTTTATCAGTCTTGAGCTACCCTCCACTACCATAATCTACTAGGGTGTTTCATATCAGTCTAATTACAAACATAGTGCAGGTGCTATAGTAAAAATCACTAATTAAGATTTTTTATAGTAAAAATTTTTGGATCTGCACACTATATTAAATAATAATAAAAAAATTGAATTTACTATGCCATTAATTCTTCCTGTAATATTTAATATTTTTTAATTCTGTAAAAGCAAACTGTTCAATAAAATATGTCTTTACATCATAACAATATTTTAGAATTTTATCTTAATAATTTTAATATATTGCAACAGTTATATATCAGAATCTCGACACACAAAATCCTG